TGTACCGTGGCCATCCTCCTTTGAGGGTGCAGTGAGTGTAAGAAGGAGCTGCAATGCACTCCAGCGGTTCTTCTCACCCTCCCAATCACAAGGTGAGGGGTATCACAGACCAAACTGTTCTTCCCTGGATGAACACTGAAAACCTGAAATGGTTGCTAGTCATCCGGCATTTATCAGAGCCCTTTGAAATAAGGTGTATAAGTCTCAGATGCGTGTGCTATTTATTTTACATGCTAAGTGATAAGTAAACTGCAAAAGCTAGTCCTCAGTAGGTAGGAATGTCAGGAGCAATGTGGCCTTTGCAGTAAGACCTCCTGTTGCATACTGAACAGCAGGGACAGGAAGGTACTGAGTAGGTGGTGATTAACTGTGCACTCTCTGTCTGCGGCACCGAACAGGGAAGGGTCTCTGACGTGTATGAAGCAAAATACAGGCGGTAGTTCTGGCGACTCCCGGCTTCTGAATGCTCGGGTTTGCAATCTGCATTGCTATTCAAGTGAAATTAATACTGTTTGGGGGGAAAAAAAAGACAAGACAAAAGGACTTTCATCAAGCTGCGTCGGAATGACACCCATGTGGGTCATCAACAGGGACAGTTGTCTCAGTCTCCTGCTGAGACAACCCGAGCTTACAGGGTCAGTGGCACCAGCAGCTGTGTATCAGCCTTTATGTCAAGAACCCACGGCCGTTCCCATTGTTCTTGCTTCCTACCCTGAGCGCTGATTTTAGGAGAGGCACGCCCATGCGTCCCCTGCTCATGCAATAACCCCATGGCTAGGCTTTAACGCGTCACAGCCAATGAAGGAGAGCTTGTGCTGTCGCTGTGTGTTACGAGTATGAACCCAAGAGCAGCTAATGAATTGGTCTCTTTAGGGGACCGGGGCAATGAGATGCCTCTTGAATGTCCCAGATAGATACACCCCAGCATTTGCAATAGCAGAACTTTAGGCACTTGTGTACATTTCCTAGAGAAAACATAGGTGGAAGCATGGTTTAAATGGGCATTTCTGGATGACACCGTTGCCTACAGGAGCTTAAATTCAGCCCATCATGCTCAGGGAGTTGTGAGGGGAAAGAACATTGTCACACATTTACATGATGCAATGAAGGACCCTGCATAATTACCAGTCTATTGGCAAACGAACCAGTTCAGGAATCAGTACAGCTATGCAAGCATGGCCCTGTACCTTGGCCAATTAAGCCTGATGAAAAGGTGGAACTAACTTGTTCAGAGAGCCATGCCAAAGGAGGTATGCTCTGTAGACTTAGGACTAACTTGAGGAATAAAACATTGCACTGATGGCTGTGCTCTGGAGGTGGCTCATGAACAATCCCAGATGACCAGCAAAAATCTGAAATTTACTTGTATATGTGCTAATGAGTGCCATCTCCTATGTGGCAAACTAACATTTTTCAAAGGTTTGTAATGTTATCAATTTCAGGCAGATTTTACAGCGGATGTGGAAACCACATCATTAATTCAATAATGACTCACTGTCAAATTCTGAGTCCTTGTTGCAAAGCATGAAGGTGACAAGTGCATTTCCTCAAGAATTTTCATTGGTGGACAACAAACAAGAAAAGCATAGATTTCACACTTTGTTCTTGGAATGGCTGAAACATTTTGATGAGAATTTTTTCAAAAGAATTTTGCTTGCTACTCCACATGCAATATGTTAACCCAAATGGTTAAAATTTGGAGAAATTATGTACCCACTTAAAAATTAGTCTTATAATGGCAAGCATTAAGCAACACTACTGGGTGATATTTTCTGCATTACCTATAGTCATGTATCTGCTAAAACATTTCAGAGAGATAGACAAGATTTTTAAAATTCTTACAGCTGTGCTGTGAAGTATTGTAAAAATAGTTACAACTAAAACACCCTTCCTTGTGATCATAGACTTTGTTAGAGAATACCAAACACTGCTGGGAAAACAGAACCATGCGAAAAGTGATCTGCTTGGCATGTCTGTTCTCATATAGAAATAAATTGAAGGCAATACCACCTATGCAGCAGTGACAAGTTAATTCCATTTCCATCTCAAAATCAGGTAAAGTGTATCTCATTTGTTACCATGGATACAAGACATTATTTCCATTTGTTTGAGATCTCACAGTGGGTATGAAATTAAACTGTGACACAGTTTTATGGAGGAAGTTCACTAAAAACCCCATAAGTTCAATGTCATTACTCCAAAGGATTTTCTTTTTTTAGACACACTAAATAAGCAGGTTGCTACTCTATGATTCGGTGATTCTATACTACCTATAAGGTACACTTCATAAGCAAACATCTATGTGATTTTGCTGATGCTACTTTGGATCAGTAGGAGTGATGGAAGACAAAATAAACATTCATTTCATCAGTCCCGCAAATGTGGGAAAGAATCCTGAAAAATGTCCAGATATTAAAAATACACTGATGTTGCGTTACTTGCTATTGTTTGGCACCAAATATGTTTACAAAAAAATTTCTTGATTCTGAAAATTCATCCACTTTTTCTCAGATAAATCTGCTTTTCAGGCTGCAGCTCAAACCACTTGCTCTCTAGTTTTCAAAGTTAGAAGAAGAAGAAGAGGTGTATGAAAAAGCAGGGGAGAATGAAGAGTAAAGAAAGAGAAGGAATATATTTTTTTAATGCTGACATATATGTAGGGTTCTGGAATTCAATGGCATTCAGTTTACCTTGTCAGAAATTAATTTTAATATATACAAAAGGATAAAAAGGAATACAGGTCTTCTTGTTAAATTATTACTAGTCAAGTCCTGGCTATATGTTTAATATTTCATAGCGAAGCTGATTTCCATAGATGCTGAGGACCTGCTGTACTGAGGGATTTCAGCTAAGGTTGTCATCTCTCAACATTTACAAACCCAAGCTGAGATAAAACAGTCTACCAAAATCAAAGGTTTATTTCTAAATATTCATGCATGAACTGCATGAAAACCATTAAGGCTATGGGCTGTCATGACTATGGCTAATCATTGAAATCCAAAGCCATCATCCAGCTGCTTAATTGACTGATAATTTCCCACCAAATATTCTAAACTCCACATCCTGTGCTTCTGTGTTGCTGCCTCTCCTCAGTATATTGTCAGACTGGATTATTTGCAATGTCTTCTCCAGCTCCTTGGGCCATCCTTAATTATATCCCATTGGGAGTTAGTAGGTGTGACCCCGAGATGGCAAACTAGAAAAATTCAGCACCTCACAGCAAAATTGTCACGAACACAGAAACTCTCAGAGGAATAGGGACTACAGCGTCCATTGCTAGCTGAACAAAGAGGTAAGTTGGTCTCTGTTGTTGACTTGCATTATTAACATTTGCTTGAAGTTACAACAGAAACCTATTTATGTTCTACAGACTTGATTGTCCTTCATCCAGACCCCAGGTAGGAAATTATAATAATGCAAAATGAGCGTTAGGGCTCTAGCATTTTGGTTTAGTAGTATTTTGTGCCCACTTTTCACTAATTTTAATGGAGAATTAGCATCAGACTGAAATTTAGCACAATATTTATATATATAGTTAAATTTAATGAAGCCAGTGATATTTAAATATCCATTTATATAAGGATAAGATGGTGAACAGACCTCAAGCATATCTAAAATATACTGAAACCTCAAGTATTTCTTGATTAATGACTTATTCCAAGTTCAGGAAAGATTTTATTCTTGAATGATCAATGACTTATTTCCTGTTTTTCAGATATTTTGTTCGGAATTACTCCACGGTACCATAAATCACCCTAATTTGGTAAAACTCTGCAGACTTAGATGGTGCTTATGTTTGTATAAACACGTCTGTAGGCTTGTCTTCTGCTCTGTTATTTGGTCTTAGGTGGAATTTTCAGACTTTTGAGATTCAAAAGGTACCACGATAGCAATGCAATTCCTAATGCAACCAGGCAGCTCATATGTAAATAAATGTGTCCTGTTTTTTTGTCATTAAAAAACAGTTTAGTACAAGTGGGTACAACTTGTCCCCTTCTAGAATCTAGTAACTGGGACTGATAGAGGAACGCACGTGTTGCTTCAGGGCACAGATGAAGGAGGCAAAATTAACCTCTGCAGTGATGTCTTGAGAAGCTCAATTCTAGGTAGGAGCCCAATCAGTGTTGTGGTGAGCCACTGCCCTTGCGCTCCGTCATGTAACAGCTGAATACACGAGCCTGGGCAGAAATGAAGTTATACACATGTATGTTGAATGACAGCTGCCCGTGTTTTAATGGACGTGTCAGATGAAGCAGTGGCAGCAGTCTGGATGTGCTTGCCAAGACTTGCCCTGCTCAATGTCAGGAGCACACTAACAAACAAGGGAGAATTCTTATGATAAACTGCCCTCCCCTGCAGGGACACACTGCAGCTTCTGGCTGACTGGTGTCAGGGAAAAAGCTTTGCTGCTGCACTAAACCACTTTAAAAATTGCCTGAATTTATGGTTACATCCATGGGTCAGCATAAATGATAAAAGCCCAGGAGACAGCATTGATGTTGCTATCTATTTGAAAGTTAGCAGGAAGGTAGTCTGGACAAGCTGGAGATTTCTCAGTCATCCTCAAGCAAGGGTCAGCAGAAAAAAGACAAAGCTGAGGAGTGGAGATGCATCTAAAGATGCAGATGAATGCAAAAAAAGGCACCGCAGAGCACTGGCTATGTTACACTGGGCAAACTTTCTTGAACTTTTGTGTAGAATTAAGGCCAATTGGGTTGAGGAGAACAATAGGGAATCTACAGAGGTAATTTGCTCCTAAATAGAACATGCATAAGGAGGTTCTTTGATTGTCCAATTGGTTTATAGTTTATGAATTCGTAAAATGACTATCCCTAAACATGTCCCAAATTCCTCCTCTGCTTTTCCCCATCTAAAATCTGTAAGATTTTGACTCCAAAAAGAAATCAGGACCTTCACAGCTAACAGTCTTGAGTAGAGCACACCCCCCTGGTACCACTTTCCTAAAAAAGACGACCTGTGCTTTTCCTCCGTAGCAATACCTGCTGCATGCCTTGCATTGTCTGCTGCAGGAACTGCAGCTGCTGGTCCTTCGTAAGGCTTTCTTCCGTCCGAAAAAGCTGTCCTTTCTCCTGTTTCAGGAGCTCCACTTCATTCCTATAAGCATCCAGCTGCCATCGAAGACTATCGTTCTCTTCCTTTAGAGCATACGCTTGGGCGGCTAGAGCTAAGAGAAAATGAAAATGTGAAGAAATCAGTAAAATGGATTGTTTCCTTACAAATAATGCAGGCAACATTGTCAGGGGAGATGACAATACAGCTGAAAGCCAGTGAGACATTTCACAGCTGAGACAAGACCCAGCAGAGCTGAAAATGATTAGGTTCTGGCAAAGACTGTTGCTGGGAAGTTATTTCCTGGGATGGAAGGAGCCATAAAGTGACCCTGGATAACTCAAATGCTACTTGCAATCTGGCTGCTACATTTAGGCTTATATTTTAGGAAGAAACTGGCATGCAGTCCAAGGGCAAAGCACCTACCAACTTTACAACATTTTCCCAGTGATGTTATAGGAACTGATACAACTGTTTAATAATTATACTAGTGTAGCAGCCAGATGTTCCACTCAGATCTGTGCTAAGGAACTTTGACTACGTGAAGTTACTGGATTTAATCCCATGAGAGAGGAAACACAGAAATTCCTCTCCAATCTCGCTATGAACTACTTTGTAGCAATGCTTATGAGGAACCATTTAGACAGAAAAATGATGTAATGGAGTAAAATTATAAAAAATGCAAATGCTCAAAAAAAGTGTTGGCACTACAAGAACATTACTACATTAAAGGCATTGAAAGACACTTAAGTCATTTCCTTAGGAAGCTCCATTTGGCCCCTTTTCAATTTAGAATGGCATTTTTATTATCATAACTGATAGCAGGTGTTTGTGAAGAAATCGATTAGTATGCAGGGATGGAAATTACATTTGCCAAATGACTTCCACAGTCTGCAATATAAGCTAAAACTTGTGTAGCAAAAGGCAGAAGGCTATAAAACATGTACTAGGAACATTATTTAAATAAATTATCCGAACATAAATACATATGGGGAAGTGTGGCATTCATTACTTCAGGGATGTGGTTATCATCCTATAGAAGAACCCACTCTTGCTAGTATTTATACTTGGCATTAGCAGTGGTCATTTGGCAAAGCAAACTGCCATACTATACTCTTTTCCTTCCTGGAACCTGGTAACACAACAACATCACAGAGCAGCTGTAATTAAAAAACAACGATCTACCATAGCCAATTCTATCAACATTTGGTAACTGAAGCGCATAACTGATTTACATTCCTGATTAAATGATTTCAGGCTTGGTATCACAGAATTCTTTCTTGCCCACCTACAACAGCAATATGGTTAAACTCCAAATTATAGGAAATTGTATATTAACTCCATTTAATATTAGGCCTCTCTTGACTAGACCTTCCACAGATAAAGAGTCCCCTGTTCCCCATGATAACATGATTCAACACATTTGTGACATTATATCAGCGCTTAGATAGAATGTCACAATATTTCATTACCAATAAAAACGTTTTGTCTTTGGTAGGACAAATCTACCTTTTCCTCAGGTAATTTTTACTGACTTTAATATAGTACAAATGCATTATCCAAAATAAAGTTAGCTACTATTCAAATACAGACATGGACTGGTTATTGCGCTTAATTTGGATATTCTACAGAATCTCTCTGGAAGATTTAGCAACAGTTACACTATTGTTACAACAAAATTAAATTGTTCTGAAAAGCATATAATCATCCTTCCATGAAAAAATTTACCCTCAAGAAATTGCAATGATGAGTCCAATGGGCAAATAAGAGGATGATTTCTTTTTTTTCGTAAGAGCCAACAAGCTATAATAAAAGAAAGAAAAAAAAAAAAAGAAAAAAGAGACTAAGCAAATAAAAACCTCAGTCTAACAAAAACTCAATGGTTCGGGCTGGAAGGAACCTCTAAAGATCATCTAGTTGAACACGCTTGCCATGGGCAGGGACATCTTTCACCAGATCAGGTTGCTCAAATCCCTGTCCAACCTCACTTTCATCCATCCATCCATCCATCCATCCATCCATCCATCCATCCATCCATCCATCCATCACTTCCAATGATGGATTATCCACAACTTCTCTGGACCACCTGTTCCAGTGTCTCACTATCCTTGTCATAAAAAATGTCTTCCTTTTGTCCAGTCTAAGTCTACCGTCTTTCAATTTAAAACTGTTGCCCCTTATCCTGTCACTACAGGCCTTGGTGAAAAGTCTCTCTGTCATTTATATTCTCTTACTCCCGTAAATCAGACCTTCCCCCCAAATTAAAAAAAAAAAAAAAAAAATAGAAACTACATGCAATACTGAATTCCAGCCAGAAACTGTCTATCCTTCTGCTCTCTGAGAGCACAAAAGGAGACCATCATGGGCATACTCAAGTTTTCATGGTGGCTTAGGAGCGGTAATTCTGCTATCGCCTAATCTAGCTCTTAAAAAACTTCTGAGAGCTACTGTATAAGTGGAGGGTCTAAGGTTTACATATTTGTTAACCACCATCCCCCTTGAAATGTGGGTTAGGACCCAGATTCAGCCGAGGCTCAGGCTGCCGTACCTGGAAAAGCTGCTGTCATGTATTTTTTATGACACACTACAGCCCAAACAGAGAACTCCTCCTCCTTTCGTCCTCCTGGGTGAGTTCAGGCTATTGAGTGGGGCCAGGCAGAGCACAAGAAGTCTGTCTTCTCTGAAGGGGCAGCAAGTTAGGGGAAATGGAAAGGGCTACAACGTATTGCAAAAGTAAGTAACTTATAGGTGATGAACCTGCTAGGGTTTAAAAAACAACTCATCCAAATGGAACAAGTCACATTCTGTATAAGCAGTGAAGGTAGCCACCCATTTTTTCCTTTAGAAATACGATACAGCTTTTTCACAGCTAAAAAGTTCAGAGTTGCACTTCGGAGTGCCATTATTTTATTTTATTACTTAAAAATTAGTTTTAGTATATCATATTAAAAACTATATTACAATAATTACATTGCAGTTCTACCAAGAATCCATCCATCCAAGCATGGGTGCCCCATTATTCTAGATTCCAGACACCGGAAGACAAAGGCTGTATTTAGAAGAGATTATAATTTTAAGACAAAATGGAAATATCCCAAACAACCTAAACTGAGAGAATAAGAGTACAGCAAAGATAAGTTTGTGATACTAGGCAGGATTCCCAGCATTGCACAATTTCTTATCAACATTATTATACACTCTGGTGATCTTCCCAGCCATTCATAGTAATTAATTCAAAATGGAGTCCAGGGTAGAAATATATCCTTAAATAAGGAGGATGCAACACATATAGCAGCAGCTGAACAGAATACTAAATTGTCACAAGCTTTTAAATGAATTAATTATAGATAAGAGTCCACAAATGATATGATGTTAAATACATGTAGTTATTTTGCTATTTAATTTAAAGCTACAAATAGTTGGTTAATAGCATGTGCTGACAGAGTGATAGCACAAGAGGAGAATAAGTCAAAGACAGGCATGTGGTGGACCCCAGGGGTTCCAGCTCATTCAGCACTGGGTAACTGTTTTAAACAAAATCAGAAACATTCTTTGTGTTGACTTAACATAACTATAATTTTAAGATATTTATATTTTAGTGCACTAAAATTAAAATAATACTGGGTTCGGACCAGTGTCTCTTTTGATTCCAAACAATTTCTATATAATTTTCTATTATATAGAAAACCAATTATAATTTATTTTAAATATATTTTATTTATAACAACTATATATAGTAATATGTAATTATATATTAACATATTATACAAAGAAAGGCACTTTGTTGAATGCTAAATTAAAATTAGAGGAGAATTTGGGGGTAAAGGGGAATCTGCCTTTTAAAACATAAACATTTTTCCAAAATGTTTCAGAAATTTTTGCTGTGGCTTAATTGACAAAGCTAATGAATATATTTTTTGCTGAAAAAAAATTTACTCAGATCATCTCAATGCAACTTCTCATGACATTTTAGGTTTGGTAGTTCAGATAGATGCTTATCTACAGAATCTCTTTCTGTGACATGCTAAAAAGCATCTTAGGATAAAAAGACAAAGAATTCTGAAAGCATTTACAGAAGCACTATGTACATGGAAGCTAGATCAAAAGAAAGCTCCAACAAGAATCTCAAATAGCTGCCTGTGCTGCAAATGGAAGAAAATATGCCTACCTAAACAAACACAGCTGGAAACCAGCTCAATATACATTTTACAGCATTTTCACTGAGGGCTGCAAAATGGTACCTGCCAGTCTCAGGGAAAGGACAGGAGGAAGATTAAACGTATGTAAGTGGGAGAAACCGTCACATTGATACTTTGAGGATATCCAAGAGATTAGTGTGATTTCCTTGTGCTGAGGCAGAAGAGCTATATACAATTTGGCAACAGCCTCAGTGGCAAAATAGACTCCATGGAGTGGACCCAGGCTAGACCCAAAGGAAAAAGTCACTTTTTTTAAAACAACAAGTGACCGACTGATCAGAAATCCACTGCAGTCTAAGGGTATACTCATTGACTGATGTTTCAGAATAAACAAACAATTAACTCTATTTTTCTAGGACATCTATATTGGATAGTTAGGACTGTGTTTTCTTTATGAGTAGTACTGATCTGTACCTTTTACTTTTAGCTGGTACTCTGTGGTTATGCTTCACGTAACACTTAACAACGCCCACTGGAGTCAATGTAGACTAAGTCTTCACAGGTGATATAGGGTAATTGTAGCATGTTATGACTCACATCATGTCATAGTGGCCAGGAAATAAAGTGAACATCCCACATCTCTGAATGTATCTATTTATTGAGGAAATTAGGGAGAATTCAAAGTTTTCTGCCAATTCTACTAATGCACACCTGTGCTGTGCATTTCTCATTAAATGATGCCCCAATAACACTACAGTTAACATTAATGACAGACTACTAATTCGCATATTGGGCACACTTTGAGTTGAAATGCACAGACAGTAGCTTATCTCAAGAGTCTGAGACAACCTGGAAGTAGTATCTGAAAAACAACCAAACACTAACAACAATAACAGAAAATCTCTGGTAAATTCAAGAGCAGAGACTTCCCTTAGGTGCTCCAAGCAGAACTTTTTCTATAGATTTTTTTTTTCTA